TTTTGAATATCTATGCCCCAAATACAAGAGCACCTACATTCGTAAATGAAACAATATTAAAGCTTAAATCATACATTGATCCTAATACCTTAATAGTGGGAGACTTCAACACCCCACTCTCATCAAGGGACAGATCAACCAGACAGACACCAAATAGGGAAATGAAAGCACTCACAGAATCCCTAAATCAAATGGACCTAATAGATGTCTACAGATCTTTTCACCCAAACTCAAAAGAGTACACCTTCTTTTCAGCACCGCATGGAACCTTCTCCAAAATAGACCATATAGTTGGTCACAAAGCAAGCCTCAACAGATACAAAAGGATTGAAATAATCCCTTGTATACTATCTGACCACCATGGACTAAAGCTGGACATCAACAACAACAGAAACAACAAAAAGCCGACACGCACATGGAAACTGAACAACTTACTACTCAATGACAGCTGGGTCAAGGAAGAAATAAAGAAAGAAATTAAAGACTTTCTAGAATTCAATGAAAATGAAGGCACAACATACCCAAATTTATGGGACACATTGAAAGCAGTGCTCAGAGGAAAATTTATAGCACTAAGTGCCTACAAGAAGAAATCTGTAACATCACATACAAACAACTTAATGGCCCAACTGAAAAACCTAGAAAAAAAAGAAGCAGATACACCCAAGAGGAGCAGAAATCAATCAATTAGAAACAAATAAAATTATCCAAAGAATCAATGAAACAAAAAGCTGGTTCTTTGAGAAAATCAACAAGATAGACAAACCCTTAGCCAAACTAACTAAAAAGCAGAGAGAAACCATACAAATCAGCAAAATCAGACAGGAAAATGGGGACATAACTACAGACACTGAGGAAATCCAAACGATTATTAGGTCATACTACAAAAGCCTATATGGCACAAAATTTGAAAATCTAAATGAAATGGATAACTTTCTTGACAGATTCCATCTACCAAAATTAAGTCAAGATCAGGTAGAAAGACTGAATAGTCCTATATCCCCCAAGGAAATAGAAGCAGTCATTAACAGTCTCCCCTCCAAAAAAAGCCCTGGACCAGATGGCTTCAGCGCAGAATTCTACAAGACCTTCAAAGAAGTACTAACACCAATTCTCCACAAACTATTCCATAAAATAGAAACAGAAGGAACACTACCAAACTCATTCTATGAAGCCACAGTCACTTTGATACCTAAACCACACAAAGATCCAACAAAAAAAGAGAACTTCAGACCTATCTCTCTTATGAACATTGATGCAAAAATACTCAATAAAATACTTGCAAACCGAATCCAAGAACACATCAAAGATATCATCCACCATGACCAAGTAGGCTTCATCCCAGGAATGCAAGGGTGGTTCAACATACGGAAATCCATCAATGTAATCCACCACATAAACAAAATGAAGGAGAAAAACCACATGATCATCTCCTTAGATGCTGAAAAAGCATTTGACAAAGTCCAGCACCCATTTATGTTTAAAGTCTTGGAGAGATCAGGGATACGAGGCACATACCTAAAGATAGTAAAGGCAATATACAGCAAGCCTATAGCCAACATCAAACTCAATGGAGAGAAACTTAAATCAATCCCACTGAAATCAGGGACAAGACAAGGCTGCCCACTCTCTCCATATCTCTTTAACATTGTACTTGAAGTCCTAGCCAGAGCAATAAGACAACTAAAGGAGATCAAGGGGATACAAATCGGAAAGGAAGAGGTCAAAGTGTCACTATTTGCAGATGATATGATAGTATACATGAGCGACCCCAAAGATTCAACCAGAGAACTTCTTCAGCTGATAAACACCTTCAGCAAAGTGGCAGGATACAAAATCAACTCAAAAAAATCAGAGGCCCTCTTGTATACCAAAGACAAAAAGGCTGAGAAAGAAATTAGGGAAACAACACCCTTCACAATAGCCACTAACAACATAAAGTACCTTGGTGTGACTCTAACCAAGCAAGTGAAAGACCTATTTGAGAAAAACTTCAAGTCTTTGAAGAAAGAAATTGAAGAAGATCTCAGAAGATGGAAAGATCTCCCGTGCTCATGGATTGGTAGGATTAACATTGTGAAAATGGCCATCCTGCCAAAAGCAATCTACAGATTCAATGCAATTCCCATCAAAATACCAACTCAATTCTTTACAGACCTTGAAAAAAAGATTCTCAGCTTCATATGGAGAAACAAAAAACCCAGAATCTCCAAAACGATCCTGTACAACAACAGATCATCTGGAGGTATCTCCATTCCCGATCTCAAGCTGTACTACAGGGCAACAGTAATAAAAACTGCATGGTATTGGCATAGAAACAGAAAGGAGGATCAATGGAATCGCATAGAAGACACAGAAATAAACCCACACACCTATGAATTCTCAATATTTGACAAAGAAGCCAAATCCATTCAATGGAAAAAAGACAGCATCTTCAACAAATGGTGCTGGACCAACTGGATGTCTACATGCAGAAAAATGAAAATAGATCCATATCTATCACCCTGCACAAAACTAAAGTCCAAGTGGATCAAGGACCTCAACATAAAACCAGATACTCTAAATCAGCTGGAAAAAAAAGTGGGAAACAGCCTAGAATTCATTGGCACAGGAGACAACTTCCTGAACAGAACACCAACAGCACAGGCTCTAAGAGCAACAATCAATAAATGGGACCTCATGAAACTGAAAAGCTTCTGTAAAGCAAAAGACACTGTCATCAAAACAAATAGACAGCCTACAGATTGGGAAAGAATCTTCACCAACCCTTTATCTGACAGAGGGCTAATATCAAGTATATATAAAGAACTAAAGAAGCAGAAAAGCAACAAACCAAGTAATCTACTTAAAAAATGGGGAACAGAGCTAAACAGAGAATTCTCGAAAGAGGAACGTCGAATGGCAGAGAAACACTTAAAGAAATGCTCAACCTCATTAGCCATTAGGGAAATGCAAATCAAAACGACCCTGAGATATCGCCTTACACCCATCAGAATGGCCAAGATGAAAAACTCAAGTGATAGCACATGCTGGAGAGGTTGTGGAGAAAAGGGAACCCTCCTCCATTGCTGGTGGGAATGTAAACTGGTTCAACCACTCTGGAAGTCAATCTGGCGCTTTCTCAGACAACTAGGAGTAGTGCTACCTCAAGACCCAGCTATACCACTCCTAGGTATATACCCAAAATTTGCTCAAGTACACAACAAGGACATTTGTTCAACCATGTTCATAGCAGCTTTATTTGTAATAGCCAGAACTTGGAAACAACCCAGATGTCCATCAACGGAGGAATGGATACAGAAACTGTGGTATTTTTACACAATGGAATACTACTCAGCAATCAAAAAGGAAGAAATCATGAAATTTGCAGGCAAGTGGTGGGATCTAGAAAAGATCATTCTGAGTGAAGTATCCCAGAAGGAGAAAGACAAACTTGGTATATACTCGCTTATATAGACCTACAAGACATGATAAACATAATGAAATCTACACACCTAAAGAAGATAATCAAGAAAGTGGACACAGGCGAAGGTGATTAATCCTCATTTAGAAAGACAAATGGGATGTGCATTGAACTTATGACAGGAGTCTATCACAAAAGGCATCTGAAAGACTCTACCTAGCAGTGTTTCAAAGCAGACACTAAGACTCATAACCAAACCCTCGGCAGAGTGCAGGGAATCATATGAAAGAAGGGAAGTTAGTATGATATGGAAAGGATAGGAGCTCCACAAGGACCAAATATATCTGGGCACAGGGTCTTTTCTGAGACTGACACTCAACCAAGGACCATCTATGGATATAACCTAGAACTTCTGCTCGGATGTGGCCTGTGGTAGCTCAGTAACCAAGTAGTTTTCCAAAGTAAGGGGAACACGGACTATTTCTAATAGGATCTCAAGGGCAGGCTGTTTGACCCCCACCCCAGGGGAGGAGCAGTCTGTTAGGCCACAGAGGAGGACTTTGCAGCCAGCCCTGAAGATACCTGATAAAACAGGGTCAGATGAAAGGGGAGGAGGTCCTCCCCTATCAGGGGACTTGGAAAGGGGCAGGGAGGAGACCAGGGAGGGAGTGTGGGGTTGGGGAGGGAATGAGGGAGCGGGATACAGCTGGGACACAGAGTTAACAAAATGTAACTAAAAAGAAAAATAAAATAAAAATAAAAAAATTAAAAAAAAAATCTCAACATGGACTGGAAGGGACAGGCCTCACCTTTGGCAGAGGTGCTGAAGGTCATTGGTGACGGCTGAGGGAAGAGAGAGTCACTGCCTTCATGGTGGGGCCACTGGTAGGTTGCCCACTCACCAGTGGGTGGTCCGACATCTTTGAGCATATGCATAGCACTAATTGCACTCAGGGGTTGTTAATTTTTTTTTAAAAGAAGGTGTGAATTTGGGAGGGAGATGGGCTGGTAGGTACTAAGGGTTGAAGGAGAGGGGGAAGTAGTAGCAGATCCATATAATTTAAATCCACTGTAAATGTGTAGAGTTTTCAACAAAATAGATTATTTATAAAAAAAAAAAAACCTCTTTTCTTTCATTGCATTTCATTGTTATTTTAGAAAACTGTCATGTATGTATGTGTGTATGGATATAAGAAATATTATAGATTAATTTATCATGATTTTGTTTATGGTTATAAATCATGTTTAAATATATATAAAGATTATTTATGTATATACTCACATATATGTTAAATATTCATTGTCTATACATAAAAGATTATATATTAATTTTATTGTGACTTTGAGAATCTAACACATATACACAAACACACAGATCAAAAAAATAAGCAAACATATTGAGCCATAGAATTCTCCTTTTCAGATAAACCAAGCACAAGTGAACATGCAAACCCAGAACTTTGGAAGCACAGAAAGACAGATCTTTGTGAGTTTAAAACCAGCAAGGGTTGCACAGTAAGACCTTGTCTCAAATAAAACTAAACTACTAAACTAAACATAAACACAATGGCATTTTCAAAAGAATACATATACTTACTGCCATTTTTAGTAGTTTGTTTACTTCAAGGATCCTACGCAGGACGTGGAAAGCTACATATGAGTTGATTTGGAATCTCCTTTCCCCTGCAGGATGTCTGAGGTAAGATTGTCTTGAACTTTGCAAACATTTTCTGAAGCAGCATATAAGCTAGAAGGGAAGACAAGGGCTTTATAGCAATACTTAAAAGGAAAGTACACACCCTTTGGATATTTTAATTGTTACAAGTAATCTGTAGTTTAAGGATATCATTCTGATACTTTGATTAAGGAGTAGGATTCAGCTATGTACCCAGAAGAGCCTGTGTGATTAATGAGACACTTAATTAAAAGACATCTCAAACTCAGTTGCTCAGTGTTAGTTTGACTGACATTTGGTCATATAGTATAATACTGAAACAAAATGAACTCACTGCAGAAAAAAAAAAAACTATCTGAAAACTGAACCTGATGTTTGGGGCCTCATACCTATAGATGTTTTTAGTATTATTGTTTTCAAATCTCCATTGATCTTTAATAATCTGAGTATGAGGAAGATAATTGTTTCACAAGTCAGGCCTTTGCACTGCAGAGATAAGATAATCAGCTCTATAAGCAACAGTATATCCAATTTTCTTAGCAAGGATGCTGACACATCCTTACAGAGTTGATTCCTGTACACCCTTACAACATGTAAGGGCCTAGGAGAGTGAAAAGAAAACGCTTCTGTGGAACTTGGAGATCCCTGGTGGAAATTTGCAGCTTCTTGAAGGCTGAGTTCATTTTAAGGACAGCATTTCAAAAGCCAAGCATGTGCTTTATAGACTCGTTTTCAAATCCTCATGATCTGAGGGTGTATGTCAGGAGCTCTGGAAGGAGCTGTTTGGGACAGAGCATCTTGGAAAGTACTGCAAAGCAAGTATTTTGAAGTGTATTCCAGGCCAATGTGAAAGCTGCAGTTCTCCTCCCTCAGCTTTTAAATGCTGCCATCTCCAGTTTAGGGTTAGAGTCTTAATAGATATAATTATTTACTTTTATGATGTAAAAATTATTTTTACTAGAAAAGAATATCAATTCAGGATTCCTCAACAAAGGAGACTCATTATTTTGAGTGCTACTTGATTGTAAAATTACATTTTACATGTATTATATAGTTATAAATTATTATATAATCTTTAACTGTTCTCCGAGTTTTGTACCTGAATAAAATATTTTTCTTGCTCAAGAAAGTGTGATCCTTATTGGAGAAAAAAAAATTCTCCTGACATAATTCTTGCTGAACATTAAAAAGTGTTCGTTTGTCCAGCTAACATTAGATTCAAACAGCTTTTTTTTTTTGCCTTAAATTTGGATTTTATTTACCAAAAGTATCCAACTCTGGACTTCTGGGGACCCTTCCAAAGGACAATTACCATTTGGGAGCATACCTGGGCTCCTCGATACAGCTAGTAGGAAAATACCTCCTTTTCAGGAAAGCCAAGGACACAACACAATAAAACAAGATAGCAGAGAATGTGGGCTGAGAACAGGAGGTTTGGCAATCTCTTGTGTATCCAAGCCCCAGATACTGATGAAGTAATGAACACATTGGCATTTTACTAAAACGGCGAATTGACGCAAATCCATTTGACTGACAAAGGTTTTTAATGAAGTTTAATACTAAGGAGACATGTAGCTGGCAAGGTGGGCAGAGCTCCTTCTCCCCAGGAGGCAATTGCTTAAAGGAAAAACATACGTTTAATTAAGCACTCAATTAGTTATGCAATTATAAATGTGATAAATATTCAAAGGAATTGTGTGCAATGGATGGTCCAGGGGAGTAGGGTCCTGAGAAGTTTCTTAAACTTCCCAAGGTCACGAAGCCAAATCAACACAAACCCAGTGGTGGCACAAAGCACCATGTGAGGGAAAGTGAGAAAGAGGGTGATTGGATTTCCTATAACTACAATAACAAATCACTATGGTTTGCAATGTCAGTGACAGAGCCAGCACGAATGTCTTTCCTTCCAGTTCCACAGAAGCTGAGCACAGACCCCTCTAGGTTGAAACTAAGCTGTTAAGTTTGTGTCTCTTCTGGGGTCCCTGAGGAAGAGTCTGTTTTCCTTTGCCACTGAGTAGTAGGGTCTGATTTATTTCACTCATTGTTTACTTATAGGATCAGCCCCATAGAATGACCATCTATTAATCAAAACAAAATAAACAACATACAAAAACGTTACTCTCTGTAACACATGGCCTGTCTACATTTATCTTTGTTTACCTTTTATTAATTTGGAGCACATTAAAATATGCAAACCACATATTAGTGGGTGAACACCAAGTACACACGAACCTAAAATAATATAAAAATAATATTAGTATAATAAAATTTATCTTAAAATTAAAAGCATTAAAGCATTTTCTCACTAATTTATTGAATTCAATTCTCAGATTGTTCTTTCAATGTCATGAAAATAAAAGTCAAAGGAAAATGCAACAACATTCTTACCAATGTTACAAAAGGCTGAAAAGAGCAACTAAGTAAAAGCAATACTCAAACAGCTATTAACCACAATAAATACTAAAATTAACAATAAAAAGGATTAACATACATAAAACTGCTCTTATCCCACATCAAAGAAACTTCTCTTTGCAACAGAGACCATTGCAGAAAACCATGCAGTCAAAAATGCAGAGAATAAGAGACAGTACTGTTCCAAGTCCCCACTGGTACATCTACAGCATGATTCTTTCACTAAGGCTCAGGAACCATCGTGAACAGAAAGACTGTAAGAAACAGAAGAATAAGAAGATTGCTATGAGAGTGTGTCCCCTAGAAAAGTCAGAGAGGCTATGTCCATGAATTCACATCAACATGGTTTCCTAAACAAGACTTGAACAAGAAAGGCACCAATAGACATGCTGACACCAAGAAGGGAGAAATATTGGACAGCTTGTGCCTTTTGATGCTGTAACAAAACCACACCTGTGAAATGCTCTGGAGGTGGGGTGAGGAGCCCTGATTTGGCCCAGGCTTCTGGAACCAACTGCCAGCTTATACGAGGTGGATTACTTATTAATCCAGACTTGGAGCATGCCAAATGGCTACAGATGAGTCAATGACAAAGTCCAGACCACTTAGTTCCTTTAGTAATTAAGTTCCAGAGAGGAAAAAAATGAAGAAAAGGTGCTTACAAGTTTACAGAAATTACAAAATAAAGCAATGGACTACAAGGTGTGTTCTATTAGATCCAGACTCCAAGAAGCAATTAGAGAAATATATATTTTATGATTATTACATATTGAAAAGTAAATGTGAAAACTAAGTTACATCATATCTGATAAAACAGAAATTGCTCAGTCTTTTAATGTCAAAATGTTGTAACCTAAATGTTATAAAGATTTTATTCTATTAGTTATTCTATGTAGGCTTAGTGTTTGTATATGCTCATGAGTGCAGGTGCCCACAGAGGCCGGGCCCCTCAGAGGCTGCATCCCTCAGTCTGAAGTTTCTGAAAGTTTTGAGCCACTCAATGTGGCTACTAGGAACCAAACTTGGGTACATGATTTTAATCAATGAGATATCTCTCCAGCACCCTAAAAAAAAAAAAGCAGGCATTCACCTTTACCAAATGAGAGCCTGTAAGAGCCGAGTTTTGCTTCCAGCATAGGAGAAGGGTAATTACAAAATAGAGCTGGCAATTGGTTGATGATTATTAAATCAGTGTGAGAACATGAATATTTATCTCACTCTGTGGTTTGAAATATTTCATGCTAAAAATTTAAACTTAACAATAAAGACAATTATTATAGAAATATTACAGAAATGTCACACAACAATATATCACATATATAATGTACACGTTATATCTACTCCTTAGATATATATCATTTATATCATATAAAATTTCATATAAATGGCATAGTTTTTGCCTATTAAATAATGTGCAAAATACTACATTATTGTAAGTTTTGCACTAATGTTTTGAGATGTCATAGTTCTTCTGGACAGTTAGTGTGTTATTCAAGTACTTTTCACTAACGCACACATGTTTTCACTTTCTAAACAAGGGCCTTATTCAGGAGGACGCCACACCATAAATCGAGTCTATTGGCAAGAGACTTTGAGCTTAATTATCAACACACTCAGTTACCTCTTATTCCATCTGGTAGAATTATGCTATAATTGGCATATCTAATGGAAGACTCGTGACCTTTAACCTTAGCTGCTATATAACACTGAGATAACTCTCAGCATCGTGGCCTTTGAGTCATCACTCCCATGCTGTAGCCTTGCCCTCACCTATCACAACGCACGTTTTCATGATCACACAAACAACGGGTTTTGAGAATAAGCTAAAAGCACTCACTTAAAGGAGAGTTGCCGGAAACAGTATAGTTTCAAAGTGTGCTGTGTCATAGTTGATGAAAACAAAAAGATCAATAAGTTGTTCTGCGGAAAACAATACCATTTCTTTAATGCATCAGCCTTCAACATTTGCAAGTTAAAGGACTGTCTCCTGTCTTTTTTTTTTTTTTCTCATAATGGCTACACGTGAGAGCAATAAGGTCAGACAAGCATGTCTTCCATAGGTATTAAGTGCAAATGAGCACTAAGACCTCAAACAGTGGCCAACTGCCTCCTCAACTGCTTATAGAGGGCCCGCTCTCCTCTCTCATTCTTCTTTTTTCAACTCTTCTTCATTCAACTTTACACATCACTTCAAAACCTCCCTTGACTTTGAAGAGAAGATTTACATCCAAAACCTTAAGCTCACAGAGCCACTTACTTTTCTTCTTTGATGTAGATGCTTTCCATTGCTGGCCCACGCAAGCAGTCCTGGGGCTCTGGGCAGGGTTCAGGCTAGTGGTTCTGAACCTATGTGGACTAGCTGTGGACAGAAGAGTCATTCACAGAAGTCACCTGAGACCATCAGTAAACACAGATTTTTACACCATGACTCATTACGTAGCAAAATTACAGTTACGGAGTAGCAACAAAAGTAAGTTTATGGTTGGGGGTCACCACAACATGAGGAAATGTATTAAAAAGCGGCCGTGATTGGAAGTTTAAGAAGCACAGGTTTAGGTGATCTGCTGAAGTCAGGAACTTAGAGCATATTGCTCGTGCTCAAGTACCACCTTCTGAGTCCGATTTGAATGTGAAGCCGTTGTGGGCACTATGGAAGCAGTGGTTATAGATTTGTACTGTAATAGTCACAAGCTTGCTTTCAGACTTTTTTGAGAAACTGGAGTTTACAGAAAACCAAGTTAGAAACACTGCCACAGTCTATCGCTGCAAAGCAATTCATCTCTATGTTATGCCAGTTACAAAATGGAGGGTTCTAGAGGCTATGATCTCATTATTGACTCATCGCATTGAGAAGGGAGCCCTGTATTTAACCGGTATTTCTAAAATATGTTATCAAAATTTCAAATTAAAAAACAACAACAACAACAACAACAACAACAAAAAACCGACCCAAGGTCTATACTCCCAGTGAATAGCTATACAGTTAGAATAGCTATCCTGAAGCAATGGAGCTTCACATTGAATTTTACACCCTAACTATCAAATATATTTTTATGCACTTATCCACTATCAAAGCCTAAAAATCCATGGCAGTTAGAAGTAAAAAAAAAAAAAAAAACAAATTAGCCTTATACCCTCTTTCACAACTTGTGTCCACTATATCTGGAATACAGACGCACCCTTAGCACACACCTTTAATGCCAGACAAGGTAGGTAAGGTTAGTTGATAGAAGTACCAATGCTTGAAAGTGATGTCTAATTGAAAGTGAGACAAAATGACAAATAGAGAAGGTTTTGACAGGATAGGATATGTGCATGAGAAGAGAGAGGAAAAAGAGGTGACTTAAAAGAGAGAGCAGCACAGAGAGAGAAAGAGAGAGGAGGCAGTTTTACTGAGAGAGTTTCACAGAGACAGGTTGAAGAGAGAACAAGTAGACACAGGTGAAGAAAAAAACAAGCTAGAGAATAAATAGGAGCTGGAAGGTTAGAATAGATTGCTAGAGTTAGTTTGAGGCCAAACAAAGCAATTCATTCAGAAGCTGAGAAGCCAGTTTGGATCAGTCATCTTTGAGAAGAGTCTGAACCAGAACAGCTGAGTTGAACCAGCCTTCCAGAGTTCAGTAAAAACTAGAAAGGGTAAGCTTATTCAGCAGAAAGTCTCAGAGGCTGAAAACTTTCCAAGCCTAGAAGATTGTACAGAGACTAGAAGCTTCCAGGACAAGGTTTAGGTAAGCAGATGAAGGCAGTAAACCTCCAAGATGACAATTACTTCTGGTGAATAAACGTTACTTTAACATATGTGTGTGGATGTCAGAAGCTGATGTTTAGTGTATGTGCCAGTTACTCTTCAACTTCATATATTTTTGAGACAGGGAAACTTGTTGAACTTGAAGCTCACTGATTTGGCTGGATTGGCTGGTCAATGAGGTTCAGGAATATACTTTTAGTGTTTCCCCATGAAGTCCACAGTAGGGAAAGACCATTGATAATATTTTTCTCCCCTAGTCTACACAACATCTTCTGGCAATGAAAGGCAGTCAGTAGGGAGGAAGTGTCCAGCTCAGTTCCAGAGTGACTTATCTTTGTCTTAAAATCAAAGTGTGTGGTGTTTTCAGTAGTAAAATAGGGAAACTACAACCATAAAGTTCATTCAGAATGAACTACAAATAGCCAAGCACAGCGAAGTGGTTTGAACTGAGACCTTAGTAGTTAACAACCTGCTTTAACATGGAAGGTTTGCCTTTTAGTATATGTATAACTTCAGAATATATAGCTGCTTTATATGACCAAAAGCAACTTTCACTTACAGAGTTTATTTTATTGGATTGTTTCACTGTCTCAAATATAATTCAGTGATTAAGGACTGAACCTCCAAGTAGAGAAAAAGAACTGTAGAGTGGTTTGTATATTTACAAAAAGGTGATCATTCAGTTTTCATTAGTTCAATAATGCTTGATCTCTTCACTGCAGAGTTCTATGAGGATGTGAGAATACCCATTATAAAATGAATTCACAATCATTACAAATAACCTCAAAGACACATTTATGAGAATAAGAGCTACCATAGTCTCTTCATCGAAAGAGAATTTCTGTTCACAGTCGGTTATATATTTTCCCAGACTTTAAAAAACATTCATATGTCCTTGCAAAAAATATGACCATATCATATTATATGCACTACTTTTTCTATTACCTGATTTTCACCTGGAAATATTCCCGACCCACTTCCAGTTTAAGGTGTAGTTACCTACACCCAGAATTTAAAACTATCTAATAGTGTCCAGCCAGA